CGTTACCGGGGGGCGATGGGGCTGGTGGAAGGAGGGAGACGAAGCAGCCAAGGGGGGGTGAGAGACAGACGGACAGACAGACAGATGGACAGACAGATGGACAGACGGACAGACGGATGGTTATTTTATGGTCCTTCCCCTGCCGGTCCCATCCCCAGCTCTGCCTCCACATCCAGCTCCATCCATAAAACAAGGGCCTTGGAGCGCTGCCTCCCCTGCCCTCTGCTCCTCCAGGATCCCACTGCATCCCAGGGGTGGGATCCCACGGCATCCCAGGGATAGGATCCCACGGTATCCCAGGGATGCAACCCCCCAGCATCCCAGGGATGGACTCCTTCAGCATCCCAGGGATGAAACCCTACAACATCCCAGGGATGGAATCCCACAGCACTCCAGGGAGGAGATCCCATGGCATCCCAGGGATGGAAACCTCAAGCACACCAGGGGGACCATGGACAAAGCCAGTGTCCAGCTGCAGTTGGACTGGGGACAAAGCCATCCTCTGGCCACGTGCACCGTCCCAGGGATGGGATCCCACAGCATCCCAGGGATGGGATCCCAAGGTACCCCAGGGATGAAACCCCACGGCATCCCAGGATCCATCCTCCAGCCATGGAGGAACTGGGGACAAAGCCATCCTCTGGACATGGTGGGACCATGGACAAAGCCATCCTCCAGCCACAGTTGGTCTGGGGACAAAGCCATCCTCCAGCCATGGTGGGACTGGGGACAAAGCCATCCTTGGCCATGGTGGGACCAGGGACAGAGCCCCTCTGCTCCTCCAGGATCCCACAGCATCCCAGGGGTGGAAACCTCAAGCACAACAGGGATGGGATCCCACAGCAACCCCAGGGGTGGTATCCTGCAGCATCCCAGGGAGGAGATCCCACGGCATCCTAGGGATGGGATCCCATGGGATCCCAGGGATGGAAACCTCAAGTACACCAGGGATGAGATCCCACAGCAACCCCAGGGATGGGATCCTGCAGCATCCCAGGGATGAAAACCCCAAGCAAACCAGGGATGAGATCCCACAGCATCCCAGGGATGGGATCCTTCAGCATCCCAGGGATGAAACCATACGACATCCCAGGGATGAGATCCCATGGCATCCCAGGGATGGAAGCCCCAAGCACACCAGGGATGAGATCCCACATCATCCCAGGGGTGAGATCCCATGGTATCCCAGGGATGCAACCCCCCAGTATCCCAGGGATGGAATCCCACAGCATCCCAGGGATGAAACCCCACAGTACCCCAGGCATGGGATCCCACAGCATCCCAGGCATGGAACCCTACAACATCCCAGGGATGGGATCCCACGGCATCCCAGGGATGGAAACCTCAAGCACACCAGGGAGGAGATCCCACAGCAATCCCAGGGATGAGATCCCATGGTATCCCAGGGATGAACCCCCCCAGTATCCCAGGGATGGAATCCTGCAGCATCCCAGGGATGAAACCCCAAGCACACCAGGGATGAGATCCCACGGCATCCTAGGGATGGGATCCCAGGGATGAAACCCCCCAGTATCCCAGGGATTAAATCCTTTGGCATCCCAGGGGTGGGATCCCAGGGATGAAACCCTACAACATCCCAGGGACGAGATCCCACAGCATCCCAGGGATGAAAACCTCAAGCACACCAGGGATGAGATCCCACAGCATCCCAGGGGTGGGATCCCAAGGCATCCCAGGGATGGAACCCCATGGCAAGAGCCATCCTCCACCCGTGGCTTCTCCTCAGGCTGGGGACAAACCCCTGCCCGGAGCTGGAAGGTGACCCCAGCCCCGTCTCCCCAGTTGCCCATCCCCAAACCACCTTGGGAAGAGACTCCTCTCCCCCCACCACCACGGGGCTCCAGGGAGAGCCCCAGCAGAGACCCCTCTGGGGGTCAGCACCCCAAGATCTCGCCTTTGCCGTCAGGGGGGGGCGG